CTTTTCCTTTCTCAGAAACGGTTTAGGGTCAGTGCCCCGTTGTTTCTATATATACTCGCCGAGTCCCTCAGTCGAGGCGACTCCTTCTGGCTTTTTCTCGGAAACGACTAAGGGTCTGGGCCCTTGTTTCCTAACTCCTTCTCGCCGAGTCCCTCAGTCGAGGCGATTCTTTAGGCTTTTCCTTTCTCAGAAATGGTTTAGGGTCAGTGCCCCGTTGTTTCTATATATACTCTCCGAGTCCCTCAGTCGAGGCGACTCCTTCTGGCTTTTTCTTGGAAATGACTAAGGGTCTGGGCCCTTGTTTCCTAACTCTTTCTCGCCGAGTCCCTCAGTCGAGGCGACTCCTTCTGGTTTTTTCTCGGAAACGACTAAGGGTCTGGGCCCTTGTTTCCTAACTCTTTCTCGCCGAGTCCCTCAGTCGAGGCGACTCTTTATGCTTTTCCTTTCTCAGAAACGGTTTAGGGTCAGTGCCCCGTTGTTTCTATATATACTCGCCGAGTCCCTCAGTCGGGGCGACTCCTTCTGGTTTTTTCTCGGAAACGACTAAGAGTCTGAGCCCTTGTTTCCTAACTCTTTCTCGCCGAGTCCCTCAGTCGAGGCGACTCTTTAGGATTTTCCTTTCTCAGAAACGGTTTAGGGTCAGTGCCCCGTTGTTTCTATATATACTCGCCGAGTCCCTCGGTCGAGGCGACTCCTTCTGGCTTTTTCTCAGAAACGACTAAGGGTCTGGGCCCTTGTTTCCTAACTCTTTCTCGCCGAGTCCCTCAGTCGAGGCGACTCTTTAGGCTTTTCCTTTCTCAGAAACGGTTTAGTGTCAGTGCCCCGTTGTTTCTATATATACTCGCCGAGTCCCTCAGTCGAGGCGACTCCTTCTGGCTTTTTCTCGGAAACGACTAAGGGTCTGGGCCCTTGTTTCCTAACTCCTTCTCGCCGAGTCCCTCAGTCGAGGCGACTCTTTAGGCTTTTCCTTTCTCAGAAATGGTTTAGGGTCAGTGCCCCGTTGTTTCTATATATACTCGCCGAGTCCCTCAGTCGAGGTGACTCCTTCTGGCTTTTTCTTGGAAATGACTAAGGGTCTGGGCCCTTGTTTCCTAACTCTTTCTCTCCGAGTCCCTCTGTCGAGGCTACACTTTAGGCTTTTCCTTTCTCAGAAACGGTTTAGGGTCAGTGCCCCGTTGTTTCTATATATACTTGCCGAGTCCCTGGGACGATTAGCTGTAACCCATGTGCTTTATTTAGATTTTTGGAATCCTCGAGCCCGTACACGGCCTATCCTTTTCTACTGATAGAACCTTCTCAAATGAGTGACGTTCCATATGCGATCTATGGGTTTCCCTTCCATAGTCTCTAACTTGTAGGTTCCGGCTTGGATCACCGCTGCAATGCGGTATGGCCCCTCCCACTTAACCGCAAACTTGCCTCCTTCGGTGGGCTGACTGGCTTGTCGATCGCGTAACACGAGGTCGCCAACCTGGAAGGTTCGCGGGCGAGTCCTACGGTCGCGATATCTTTTCACCGCCTGCTGGTACTCAACCATCCGTGCACTCGCGGCTTCCCTCCTTTCCTCTAGGAAATTTTTCTCGATCCGCATATTCTCTTCGTTCGCTGCATCCGAGTAGGTGCGAACCCGGTGGGTGGGCTCGACCACTTCGACTGGAACCTTGGCCTCGAAGCCATATGCGAGCGAGAACGGGCTCTCCCCCGTCGCTCGCTGTTGGGTAGTGCGATAAGCCCATAGGACTCGGTCAAGCTCGTCCGCCCAATTTCCTCGGATGTCTTCGAGCTTCTTCCGGATCCCATCGACCAACGTTCGATTCACATTCTCGACCTGCCCATTGGCTTGTGGGTACGCTACCGATACCTTGGTATGCTTGATATCGTGTCGGCGGCAGAAGTCAGCGAAGGCCTGGCAGTCAAACTATCGCCCGTTGTCGCTGACGATGTGCTCGGGCAGGCCGAAGCGACAGATCACCTTTTTCCACAGAAAACGTCGACATTGGTACTCGGTGATGGTAGCCAATGGTTCTGCCTCGACCCATTTGGTGAAGTAGTCGATAGCCACGACACAAAACTTCAGACCTCCCAGGGCGACGGGCAATGGTCCCAACAAGTCTATTCCCCACTTGGCGAAGGGGATGGCAGTGGTGACCGGTGTATAAAAGGTGGCCAGCCGGGTGTCTTTCCTGGCGAATGCTTGGCAAACGCCGCACTTGGACATCCATTCGATACAGTCTCGCATCATGGTCGGCCAGTAATACCCTTGAACGACTAACTTCCGGGCGAGCGTGTGGGCACCCTGGTGCGCGGCGCAAATGCCTCTATGAGCTTCGTCCATTATTTTCTCGGCCTCAGGTCTAAGCATGCACTTTAGTAAGGGTCCTCCGAACGACTGTTTATATAGCTGCCCGTCGATGATCTGGAAGGAAGGAGCTTTCCGCCGAACTCTAGCGGCGACTCCTTGGTCACTTGGTAACTCGCCCGTCTCCTTGAATCGCCGGATGTCTTCCATCCAAAACATCTCAGGGTTTTTCTCCCGATTCCATTCCTCGATATTTACTTGCTGGACTTCCAGTGGTGTCTCTTCAACACTCGGCCGATTTAACTCCTCCTTCTGGCAAATCTTTATCAGGTGGTCCGGTACCCCTTCCAGGGCAATTTTGGACAATATGTCGGCTTCCATGTTGTCCGCTCGGGATATGTACTCTATCTCGTAAGCCCCGAACTCTTTTAACATCTCAACTGCACGCTCTTTGAATAGTACCATCCTTGCATTCTTAGTTTCACACGTACCCGAGATCTGTCCGACTACCAGTCTGGAGTCAGTCTTGATTCGCAGCCGCTCAACTCCCAGGGCCTTGGCGAGTTGGAGGCCGTTTAATACTGCTTCATACTCGGCCTCGTTATTTGATGTCGAGAACAAGTATCTCAGAGCGTAATATAGCCGGAATCCTTCCGGAGTGATGAGCATGACACCGCCTCCACAGTGCTGTCGACTCGATGCTCCATCCGCGTGCATTTCCCACCACTCGCCCGAGAAGCTCTCCGGGGCGTGTTCCTTTTCTTCCTCACTTGCTGTACATTCGACCAGGAAGTCGGCCAAGGCTTGACCTTTAATGGAAGGCCGGGGTTGGTACTCAATCCCATACTGAGTCAACTCTACGGCCCATTTTACAAGTCGGCCGGAGGACGAGGGGTTTCTTAGCACGCTCCCGAGCGGCTGGTCTGTCAGAACTCGGACGGTATTGGCTTGGAAATAAGGTGCCAGCTTGCGCACGGTGACTACCAATGCATACACAATCTTTTCCAGAGCGGTGTACCGCGTCTCAGCGGCCTTCAGTGAGCGACTTACGTAATAAACCGGGTGCTGGACTCGGTCTTCCTCTCGGACCAATACCGAACTCACTGCTTTGGCCGAGGCGGCGAGGTACAAGAATAAGGGCTCGCCCACCTGGGGGGTAGACAGCATTGGGGGCGTTGAAAGGTACTGTTTCAACTCCTCAAACGATTGTTGGCATTCGGCAGTCCAAGCGAATCCCTCCTTCTTCTTCATGGCTTCGAAGAAAGGCACGGTCTTATCCGCCGCTTTGCTTAGGAAGCGGCTAAGGGCGGCCAACCGACCAGTCAATCGTTGTAGGTCCTTGACGGTGGTAGGAGGCTGCATGTCGATGATGGCCTGTACTTTCTCCGGATTAGGCTCAATGCCTCGTTTGGTGACCATGTAGCCCAAGAATTTGCCACCTTGGACGGCGAACGCGCACTTTTTGGGGTTCAGCCGAAGGTTGTATTTTATCATTACCTTGAAGCAGTCGGCCAGGTCCTCCGCATGCTTGTCCTCCTCCCGGCTCTTGACGAGCATATCGTCGACGTACGCGGCCATCGATTTCCCAAGCAGGTGTTGGAACAGCCGGGCGACCATTCGGGTGTACGTAGCCCCGGCATTTTTAAGTCCGAAGGGCATGACTCGGTAACAGTAAACTCCGTCCGGTGTCAGGAAGGCGGTCTTCTCCTCATCCGCCGGGTGCATAAATATTTGGTGCTACCCTCTGAAGGCGTCCATGAAACTCAGTAGTGCCGACCCGGCCGTTTCGTCGACTAACTGGTCGATCCGAGGTAGGGGAAACGGGTCTTTCGGGCAAGCCTTATTAAGATCGGTGTAATCCACGCACATTCGCCACGCTGGGGGCTTGGGTACGAGGACCACATTATCCAACCACTCCGGGTACTTAACCTCGCGGACGTGCCTGGCCGCTAGTAGCGTGCTAACTTCCTTCCACACAAATTCCCTCCGGTCGTTGGCCAGGTATCGTTTCTTCTGTACGACCGGTCGGTGCTCCGGATCCACGGCGAGTCGGTGTGATATAACCGACCGATCGACGCCGGGCATATCCTCCGGGCCCCAGGCGAAAACCAATCAATGTTCCTGGAGCACTCTCACGATTTCCCCCCTTAGTTTCTCAGGAAGGCCGACCCCAATTCTCACCCGCCTACTAGGCTGTGCGGGGTCAATCTCGACTTCCTCTAGCTCGACGGCCGGCTCCGGGCGAGGTATCACCGTTTTCTTAGGGGCCTCTCGGTAATCTCGTGGACCTGCATCTCACGTTTGCCCATCCCTCTACATGCTTGTAAATAACAGTCGCGGGTGACCTTGCGGTCGCAACGTACCGTTCCTATTCCGTTCGGCGTGCGAAACTTCAAGCACAGGTGTTCGATCGAGATTAAGGCTCCGAGGTCCTCCAAACCCGGACGGCCGAGTATGGCGTTATGTGAGCAGGCCAGATTTACCACGATAAACTTCATGCTTAACTTCTGTACATCCGGGTAACTGCCAATCTCCACGGGAAGGGTGATCGACCCTTCCGCCTCCACCGAGTCCCCGGTGAAGCCGGCGAGAGGGGTTTTGACAGGATTCCGCTGCTCTCGGGTTAGCCTCATTTTGGTGAAGGTCTCCAGGTATAGCACATTGACGCTACTCCCGGTGTCAACCAGGATTCGGCGAACGACTACACCATTGATGTCCATAGCGATGACCAACGCATCTCGATGCGGGGTTTCTCCGGCTGGCAGGTCCCTATCGGTGAACACGATGGGTTCTCGGCATACCTTTTTGGAGCTCTCTTCGCGGCCGTAAACCGTCCCGACATACATTGCCGAGCCCAGGCTTTTCGGGTGTTTGCCGAGTCGCCGCCCTCTGGTCCGCCGACTATCATGTTGATAACCGGCTTCTGGCGCCATTGGGCTTCGTCCTCTTCGGAAGCCGGCTGCTTACCTCGGCTGTTCTCTGCGTCGGCGGCAAGTCCCTCATCTCCTCGACTGGCCGACCTTCGCCTCCATTGATTAGGGGGCGGGGTCCCTTGCTGGATTATCCCCTCCATGATCTTCTTTAGATAGAAGCATTCTTCCGTGCTGTGAGTATAAGATTTATGATAACGACAGTACTTAGAAGTCTTACCAGTCTCCCCACTTGTTACACGGTCGTCGATCGGTGGAGGCGGAGGTGGGGCGACTGCTTGTATTTCGTGGACCGGCCGCTCCGGAACCGGTCGATAGGCGTGGACGACGGGGCGGTCATACGGTCGCCTAACTTCGGGTCGCCGGGCCACATCCAAACGCCTTTCGTTCGTCTCGGCCCGCGTCCTTTTCCCGCTGGCGGACCCGCCGACCTCGCGTTGTCGTTTATGCTTCATGGCCTGCTCCGTGTTGGCTCTCTTTTTGGCCATCTGGATAGCTTCCGCGTACGTTGCAGGGCGATTGTCCCTTAGGTCTCGGTACAGCTGGCCGGACCGCAAAGACTCGATGAAGAAAGTGAGTGCCGTTTGGTCCTCCACTTCCTCTATCGACTGGATCTCCTTTTGCCAGCGGGCTAAATAGGTTTTTAAGGACTCACCCTCGTCCTGGTGGATGTCGCCTAAGTGCGTCAGGTCCTTCTGTGGCTTGATGTTGGCGGCGTAGTGGCTCATGAAGCGATCTGCCAGCTCCTCGAAACTGTGAATCGTCCCTGGGGGTTGCGCCACGAGCCACCTCTGCGCGGGCCCCTTTAGCATGGGTAAGAAGGCGCGGCACATGACCGGGTCCCGTACCCCTAAAACTTGCATCTTAGCTTGGTAGCTCAGTAGGTGTTCTCGCGGGTCGCCCGACCCGTCGAACGTGGCTTGCTCCGGGAACTTGAAGTCGCCCGGTATCTTGAAGGCCATGATCTCGGCCGAGAAGGGTAACGCGGTCAGCAGCGTTCGGCCAGGGGCCTTGGCTTTTCCTTCCACCTGTTCTTTTAGGTTTCGTACTTCTTGGGCTAAATTTGCCACCTCGACCCTCTCTTGGGTGCGGTTTCCTGTCGATTCCGTGCTCTCGCCGACCTCTGACTCGACAAGTCGATCATGGTCGTGGGCGGGCTACTCTAAGCGGCGAGCCACCGTCCGGGCTTTCCTTGCACGGTTACGCTCACGCGCGCTCTGTCGACCGTGAGTTTCTAACGGGGCGCGAAGGGGTTCTCTTCGTCCCAGCCGTTCTCTCGCCGACCGTCGTTCAACACCCGGACCCAACCGAGAATGAACGGACTGGACCGGTTGACTCTCAGCCCGGCGGGTGGATTGTCGATTGTCTGGCCTTCGCGACGGTTGGGGGTCTCGTTGCGGTATCCGAGTAGCGGATTGCTCCCGTATTCCCCGGCTCGCCTCGACGAAAGCGCGTCCAATCGCTTGTAGCTGATCCGGGGTGAGCTGCACCGCGGCTGGTTGTGGATTTATCCGCGGAGTCGGCGGCGGTGTCGCGTCGTTTTCCCGGCTTCGGGCGTTTCTTCGATTCAACTGATCTCTTAGGTCGGCTCCTAGCCCATTATCGTGTTGACTCAACTGCTCTTGGCTTCCTGTCATGGTAAAGCCTTTCGATTTCTCGCAACTAGGGCTCTTCTCGACGTTCTCTCGGACTCGCTTTGCTCAGAAGGCACGCGACTCTTTGTTTCGATCCCCACAGACGGCGCCAGTGATGGTTTTTGGATTTTCGGGCCCAAGGAGGTCCAACACAACCTTTCAGCTGGAGGATACACCTTTCACAGAAAGTCTGAATTTTAATGAAATGCGATGCTAATAATACTTTGTATTCCCTTTCTGGGTTCTCTTTCTTTTTCCCCCTCTCTTACAAGGGTGGAGGAGCCCTTTTATAGTAGCCCCTCCCTCACTGACTTAAAGGCCCATAATGGCCGACTTCAAGGCTGCTTTCAAGGTGCCGAGCCGTTGAGTGACGTTACGGGGTCTACCAACGGCTCTTTCTAGCTTGTAACCGGTGGACCGAGTCCGGCCTTTAATGCCTCAACGGCTCTTCGTCTTAACTTCTTCGGAGGCTCCCTCAATGGCTCTCTGCACTGAGTCTTTCCCTGGGTTGGGCCCGGACCGACTCCTCGTCTCCGGCCCATGCTCAGGTTGGGTCGTCCTTCATAGCCCTGGCCTGGGCCTTCCATTTGGGCCTGGGCCGACTCCTGGACTCGGCCCACGCACTCTCTAGGCCCGCCTTGTGTCAGCCCATCCTTCTCTCTGGTCTTTCCTCTTTGGGCCCTCTTTCTTGGGCCGGGGTTCTCACCCCATCAATTATTATTATTATTATTATTATTATTATTATTATTATTATTATTATTATTATTATTATTATTATTATTGTATATATATATATATATATATATATATATATATATATATATATATATATATATATATATATATATAACCCTAAACCAAACATGATTATATTACATACCTCAATTTTAACCAAACACAGGAATCTAGCATTCCCGGTAATCTAACATTCCCAGTCATCTAACATTCCCAAAGGTAATCTAACATTCCGTGAACCAATTGATGATGGGGTTAACACAAAGAAAAACAATCAAAATATGGGATAAGTGCTTAGCACTTATTTAAACAAACGAGAGGCACAATGGGGACACAAAGGATAAAAACATATATAGGGACAGATTTAAAGGCTACGGCTAAACAAAAATGGCCTAAATCACTTCAAAACATGCAAAAACTTAGATTTCCCTTAGGGAGTATTGAGGCAAGTTCTATCAAAACACCCATGGCCGGAATCTCACATAAGCCTTCACTAGCAATGCATAACACACGAGATAAAAAATTAATCCAATTAATGAGTGGTTAACAAGACTATTGGCAAGAGAATAGATCAATTATGTGTTACACCTCAAATCATCCATTAGAAATTGAATTGCAACAAGTACCACTAAAACAAACCACAAACCCACAAGAGAGAATAATTGTAACTGCATGCTATGACAAGTAACTTATTAACCAAGAAAAGCTAAGTCATCCAAGAAAAAATTTTGAAATTTACCCCAAATTGTAGACTCCTCCCCCACACTTAAAACTTTGCATAGTCCCTGATGCAAAACCCAAGAAAAGGAGAAACAAGAGAAAAGAGAACGGTAAAAGCAATAAAATAACCCGAACTAGAAAGCAATAAAAAACGAAATAAGACGAAACTAGAAAGCAATAAATAGGAAAACAATAAAAGATAACATGGGGTGCCTCCCATGAAGCACTAAGTTTAACGTCGCTAAGTTTAACATCGCTAGCTCGACTCAACCTGGTTATGGAGTGCTCAATCTGGTAGATCGTTGATAGTGAATCCATGCCCAGAAAAGTTGTTCCACCTTGCATGCTCCAATGCCATGTCAAGGGGCTCGCTATGAATCATAGAGCAATCTTCAACACCAGTGGACTTTGGCTCATTAATAACATTGAATTCGATCTACATTTTTCTCTCCAAAGTCAAAAATTATAGTTCCCTTCCTTGCATCAATTAGTGCTCCAATTGTAGCCAAGAAAGGTTTCCCCAAGATGATGGGAGTATCGGGATTCTCTGGGGCATCTATCACAATGAAGTCACATGGCACAAAATATTTGTCCACCCGGACTGGAACCTCCTCAAGAATTCCAATTGGGCGAGTAGTAGACTGATTAGCAAATTGTACTGTAACTTGGACAGGGTTAGGATCTCCCAAATTCAGCTTCTTACAAAGTGATAGAGGCATAACATTAACACTAGCTCCAAGATCACAGAGGGAGCTTTTTATCATACGACCTCCAATAAAACACGGGATTGTGAATTTTCCCGGATCTCTATGCTTCAATATGTTCCTACTTTCACTACGTGCCAATGCCCTATACTCTTGTGCCATTGCCACCACCTCATGATCACCAAATTTCCTTTTCTTAGCTAGGATGTCTTTTAAAAACTTCCCATAGGAGGGGACTTGGGAAAGTAAATCGAGTAAGGGAATTGAAACTTTCAAACTCTCAACTAATTCTAAAAACTTTTTCCGTCTACTTTCTTTTGCTTTCTGCTGAAATTTTTGAGGAAAGGGCAAGGGTAGTTCATACCTTCTCACGGGCTTCTTTCCTTCATCTATGACTTGTGGATTATTTTTCACATCAGCTGGCTCAACTTCTACATCCTCAAGTATCTTTTCAATATCTTCTTCAACAGTTTTATTTGGAGTTGATAATTTGATTGGAAGGGGTGGCTCTTCAAGTACTTTGCCACTCCTTGTAACAATTGCATTGATATGTTCCCTTGGATTCTCGGTACTAGCTGGTAATCTCCCTGTGACTCTAGTGCTAGATGTTGAGGCTTGATTAGCTAGCTGATTTTCTAGCATCTTATTGTGGGCGCTCAACTGATCCACCCTCTCTGTTAATTGCCTAAACCTTTTCTTCCCTTTGCAATTGTGACTTAAGTATCCTCTCCAACATAGCTTTCAAATTTGATTGTGGTGGAGCCTCCAAAGCGGGTAATTGAGATTGAACTTGAGTACCTTGAAAACCTGGAGGACCTCTATTAACAAAGTGTTGAGGATTGGCAACCCCCATTGGGTTACTCCATAAAAACCGGGGTGGTTCCTTACATTATTTGGATTATAAACCCCTTGAGATTGAAAGGGTTGTTGAGGCCTATTATATCCAACCAGATTAACATGCTCCTTAGGGGGTTGAGAACTTACATCATTGAGGCAATCCCCCGAATTATGTCCACCACCACAAAGGTCACACATTAAAACTTGACTAAAAGAAGAAGGGGTAGAAACATGACTCACATTTTGCTTTTGTAGGGTAATTTGAGCAAGCTTTTGGACCATGGAAGTCACATTATCCACCTTGGCTGTCAAAGCGAAAAATTGCTCCACCTCATGAATTCCTCCTACAAGATTTTGTGGAGACCTCTCTGAGTACCAAGTAGATCCATTCATTGCAATTTTCTCTAGTAGTTCCTCGGCTTGTTTTGGCTCCAAAACTGTGAATGATCCACCCGAAGAAGCATCCACCAAAATCCTAGAATTATCAAGCAATACTTCATAAAAAACCATCATCAAATCCCAACTTTGAATGCCATGGTGTGGACACTGCCTCTTCATCTCCTTAAACCTCTCCCAAGACTCAGTTAGGGACTCAGTTGCCAGTTGCTTAAAGTTTTGAATTACCCTTCTCATCCTTTGAGTCTTAGAGATTGGATAGAACTTCTTCAAAAAGTCTCCATGTAATTCGGCCCAAGTATCAAAATAGTTGTCCGGAAGTGAGGTGAGCCAATCATTAGCTTTGTCCTTCAGTGTGAAGGGGAAAAGCCTAAGCCTGAGCCGGATAGCATCTTGAGTGACCCCATTCATTTTGAAGGTGCCACACACCCTTAGGAACTTGGTGATGTGAGCATTGGGATCCTCCGTAGGTGACCCTCCAAATCGATCCGACGCAACCATTTGTAGGATGGCCGGCTTGATTTCAAAATTGTTCGCATCCACCCCTGGCATATTGATGCTATCATGCTCCTCAACATCAGGAGCAATGTAGTCAGATATGGATCTTCCTTCGGCTTGGTTTCCTAGTACCTGTGCCATCCTGGTTTGTCTTCTAAGAAACTTGGCTCTTTTCTCAATCTCAAGGTTCAAAGGTAATAATCCTTCTTTCCCAAAAGATCGTACACCCATACAAAGCCAAGTTCTTAGATTCAAAAGAAAATCACACTCAACAACAAAGAACTAGTTATGGGTTAGCAAAAATAAAATAAAAATAACAAAACAAAATGGACTAGTCTCCTAGAATAGAACTTTCACGAATCTTAATACTGAACACCACTTCCCCGGCAACGGCGCCAATTTGATTGTAGTATATTTTCAAACAAATAAATACCTGGAGTATCAGGTTATCGATCCACAGGGAAGTAGTTTATCAATCACTAGCTACTAATCTAATCTTATGAAGCTAATCCTAATAATAATCATGAATGTTTGCATAAAACAATTTAAATAAAGCAAAGCAACAGATTTGTGAAACAGTAGAGAAAAGATGAGATCCCTGGGTTTCAAGTATTTAATCACCTAGTGCCAAATCTATGGTTTATATTAAATCTAGGTATAAACGGGTGTGAGGATGCAAAGTGGTATAGAGCTACTCTCGTAGTCACTAACACTAGTGGATATCCACTCTCGTGGTATAAACACCCAATAAAACAAGAACAAGCATCATAATAAATTCCTAACTACTATCATCCTCGATGTGCAATAATCAATAATTAAACTCCCTAACAAGATTACCCTTTCTCAAGGTGCAACAGTTAGGTGCGATTGTGTGTGCCCTAAATTATGGCCAACTCTCGTTGTGACACAAAGATAGCTATGAAGCAAGTAATTACGGCCGCTTAACTACTAACAACAACAATACAAATCACAATTGCAACACAAGTATTAAACCCAAATAATAATATATTAAAGCATTAAAGAACTAGGCACATAGGTTCATAAATACTATCACCCAAGAATCTCTAAGAAAACTTAGCCACACATGGCTAAGATGCAATACATATCAAATATAATGAGTTACAAGATAATCTAAGAGTACAAGAATTGACCAAGTGATTCTCCCAACTCCTTGGCCTCCTCCTTGCTTCCAAAGAAAACTTGAAGCTCTCAATTCTCCTCTTTCTTGACACCAAAGTCTGAATTAATTCCTCTAGGGTTGAGGAAAAGGGTCCTTTTATAGTGGGAACAAATAGGGGATGAAATTAGAAAGTTTCCAAAAATTGCGCCCAGTGCAATAGGTACGATTTGCAAGCTTATTTTGACGCTTTTCTCTTATTATTTAGACTTTTATGTCTTTATAAGAGTTGTATACCTTCTATTCTTCTTTCCAATGGCGTAAGAATCACCTAATTGGAACATTCCTATGCTGAGATATGGTCCAAAAAGCAAACTGTCGCCAATCTGTGCGAGATGAAATGTTACTGGAAATTTTCAACGCCTCGAGTCCCAGACTCGATGTTTCGAGATTTCGGCTGGGTTATAGGTTGTAGCCCTTTGAGTCTTCTTTACAATGGCGCAAGAATCACCTGAATCGAACATTCCTAGCATGAGATATGATCAAAATAATAAGTTGTCACCGAATTCAACGGGAATTACAACTCTTTGGTCTTTTGATCCACTTTTCCCTTGTTTGATTATTGTGATCAAATCTATTCAAAGTACCACTCTTTGGCTCTCCCTTAGCTTCACCTTGACTTTGTTTTGGCACCAAACTCGTCCTAGAACTTCCCTTGCTTTTGCAATTGATCTACAATGGTTCCAAACACTAACAAACACCGTAAAACATTCAAATCAAGTGTAAAACAATATTTTAATGAGAAAACAAGGTAATATGCAATCAAAGTATCAATTTCATGCACTTGAACCCAACAAACATAATCAAACTAACACTTAAAACATGCACAATTTGGCTCGCATCAAAACCTCATCCTCAATATCTCGGTAAGCTTGCGTAAGCCTCCTGATGCATGGTTTTGGCATGGGAAACTAAGGGTGGTTATTCAGTTAAATCATGCTATAAATTGTTGGTGGGTGATTTTGAGGAGAATAAACTATGGCGTTTGTAAGTGTAAATATATTTAAACCTCTTTATTATTGGCTTAGATTAGTTGTCAAAGTAGTCCTGGTTTAGTTACTAGATTAGTCACACGTCTGGAGTAGTTGACTGGATCAGCGCAAGGAAGTAATCTAGGAGGTATGAAGCTTGTTCAAAGTATTTATTCAAGACCCTATCAATGGGGAGATCAAAATCTAATGGAGCAGCCGAATTCAAAGAATAGAAGAGTGCATGTTTTGAGGATCAAAACATTCTTTACAATCTATATATAATGCTACCTTAATTAGCATTCACTACGCACTCTTTCAAATAGCTTTACTCTGAAATTCTTGGTGCATCTATACCAAATACATCCTGTACTGTTGAGTGTGAAGAAGATCTTGCTATCGGATCATGAAGCAATGAAGATCGCTTGCACATCGGACCCACTGGAGTAGGTTCTGGAGTAGTTATAGGTTATACTTTAGTGTGTAATTAACTCTCCTCTTGTACTCCATTTTTATCATAGTGGATTTGGGTTGATGTGAGTGGCCACGCAGACGTAGGAGTGAGGCTCTGAACTGCGTGAACATATCCTGGTGCATGCTTTCTTTTACTGCTATTTATTTCATGTTCTTTATTATATCTGGAATATGTTTTCATCTAGTCCAGCTTTATAATTGAAATAAAATTAAAGTTATTAAAAGTTAAATCTTGCATTCAAGACTCACGTGTTTTTTCAATTGGTATCAAAGCCCGGGGACTTAAATTACTAGTCTATCCGATCTGGCTATCACGTGTTTTTTGAACTCAAGATCTCATCATCTGTTTATTTTTTTGTTTATCTGGTTTACTTGTTGCTCACTATGCATTGAGTCTTACAGAATGGAACGACATAGAGCAACTCCTGAGTTAACAGGTGACAACTATGCGTACTGGAAGGCCCACACCAAAATGCATCTATGAGCTCAAGGGGAGAGGGTCTGCAGGGTTGTTCTTACTGGTTGGTCTCATCCTACCAAAGATGGAGAAAATACAGGAGATCCTCCAGTCCTCAAACCAGAGGCAGAATGGACAGAGACTGAGATGACCACCGCAAGCTTCAATCATAAAGCGTTAGACACTATATTTTCTTTAATGCATGAGAGTCAATTTACCATTGTTGCAGGGTGTGATTCGGCTAAAGAAGCTTGGGATGCCTTAGAAACTACCTATGAAGGAACCGCATCGGTTAAACAATCCAAACTTCAAATGGTTCAAACCGACTTTGAAGATCTAAAGATGAAAGATGATGAAACCATAGTGGATTTTCATGCTCGGGTACAAGAACTAGCCAATAGGGCAAGCATTCTAGGCGAACCAATCACTCAAGAAAGACTCGTCAAAAAGATTCTTCGCTCACTCCCTCCAAGGTTTCGAATGAAAGTTACAGCCATTCAGGAGCACGATGGATGGGAAAAGAAAGTGGTACAACAATTGATGGGAAGCCTACAAACTTATGAGATGGAAATCTTAGGCGGACATGAAACAAAAGGAAAAACCGTAACATTCACTGTAGAAGACGCTGGAGCAGTTTCTGATCCAGATGAGGTAAGTGATGATTCAGTAGTCTTTTTAACTAAAGGTTTTTCTAAATTGTTGCAACAGGTAAAACAAAGACAAACTGGAAAACTTGGCAAGTTTCAAGGTCAAAAAGGATCAGGATCGTGTGTAAATCGAAACAATCAAAGATCAAATGTTATGAATGTGAAGGGTATGGCCATGTGCAGGCTGAATGTCCAAACTATTTGAGAAGGAAGAAGTCAATGAAAGTTGCCCTTACCTGGAGTGATGATGATGAACCAGAAACTGATCCAGGTTCTGATCCAGATGAGATCTCCGGAAACTTTGTTGCCTTTACAGCTCTTAAAACTATAGTACCTGCTTCTACAACTGGCAAAGAATCAGAAATTGAAGAGTATGTGTCATCAGAAGACCAAGATTTACCTGCACCTTCTTTTGAAGTAGAATATAAAAAATTGTATGCAAAATGGGAAATACTTGTAAAAGTTAATAGAACTCTGTCTAGTCAGGTTAGCATTCTAGAAAATTCCAAAAAGGTGTATCTATCTAAAATATCAGACAAGGACAGCATCATTGAAGACAGTCACAAGAAAGAAGAAAATCTCAAACATCAGCTGGAAGATCTCAAAAAGGAACTGGAGCAACTCAAACGCAAGATAAAAATGATGGACAACACATCCACCTTAGACCAAATTTTAGATTCTGGACGAAAGACATCTACAAAATATGGGTTAGGCTACTCTGGAGGAAAGGACAAAGCTGCTACAATTTTCGTCAAAGCCTCAGGCCCTGACTCAGTCTCTGGAGCAGATCAAGATATTCCAGAAACTTGTACAGCTCGACGTCAAGTCAAATTTGCTCCAAGAAAAAATTCAATCAAGGTTAGAATATATAATCCTATATGTCATTACTGCAGGGTACGCGGACATACAAAACCGGAGTGCTTTTACTTCTACAAAGACCAACGTTTTGAGAAATACACAAACAAGTCTATCACTCCTTTTATCAAGCAAATTTGGGTGAAGAAAAGTGACTTTGTCTGTCATGTCTCTTTCCACTCTACGAGTACTAACAGAAAAGAGAGATGGTACTTTGATAGTGGATGCTCGCGGCATATGACGGGTGAGGCTAAGTTCCTAAACAATATAAAGGGAAGTACAGGAGAAGTAACTTTCGGCGATGGTGTTAAGGGAAAGATCACTGGAATTAGCACTCTAAATGTCACAGGTCTACCCAAACTCAAAAAAGTTCTCTTGGTGGAAGGTTTGCATGCAAATCTGATTAGTATCAGCCAATTATGTGATCAGGAGTGGAAAGTCTGCTTTACAAAAGACAGCTGCAACGTCACAGACTGCAAAAAGAACTGTGTCATGGAAGGTAAACGCTCTTCTGATAATTGCTATATACTTACTAACGATTCCTATTGTTACAGGTCCAGCATAAAAGAATAAAAAATGTGGCATCAAAAGTTAGGCCACTTAAATTATCGCTCACTTGAAAAGTTAATCAAGATTGAGGGTGTACGAGGTCTACCTAATATCAAGGTTGAAACAGTTGGAGTATGCAGTGCCTGTCAAGCTGGAAAACAAACTAGTGCAGCGCATACCGCTCAAAATATGATCAATACCACACACTACCCCGAACTTATTCACATGGACCTCATTGGTCCTACCCGAACAGAAAGCATTGGAGGTAAAAGGTACATTTTAGTTTGTGTTGATGATTTTTCTCGGTATTCGTGGGTCAGTTTTCTCAGGGAAAAGTTAGAAACTTTCGAAGCCTTCAAAGCCCTGGCCCTAAAGCTCCAAAAAGAGAAAAATGAGCCAATCATACGCATTAGAAGTGATCATGGACGTGAATTCGACAACCAAGTATTTGATGATTGGTGTGCATCAGTCGGTATTTTCCATGAGTATTCAGCACCTAAAACACCACAACAAAACGACGTGGTTGAAAGAAAGAATCGGACGATTCAAGAGATGGCTCGGGTTCTACTTAATGCAAAAGACTTGCCTAAGAGATTTTGGGCTGAAGCAGTAAGTACTGCTTGTCACACGATAAACCGAGTATATCTATGACCTGGAACGCATCATACTCCATATGAAATATGGAAAGGTAAGAAGCCTAATATCAATTACTTTCATATTTTTGGCTCACGGTGTTTTATCTTGAAGGACCGAAACCCAACTGGAAAATTCGAGTCTAAAAGTGATGAAGGGTATTTCCTTGGGTACTCAACGAATAGTCGTGCCTACCGGGTCTACAACAAAGTTACAAAATCCATCATGGAATCAGCAAACGTGGTGGTTGATGATCAACCTGAGGAAATAACTGAGGTTATAAGAGTCTCTAACCCAGAAGTTACTCCAGAACCTAACACAAATAATCCAGAACCCCCTGAAACTACATCGTCAGATTATACTCCAACTCCTCCAGCTACTAGTCCAGAACCTGGTCCAGACCCAGATGCTGGAGCACTCGACGGGGCTATCCGACTTCACAAAGATCACCCTACACAAAATATCATAGGAGATCCATCCTCTGGAGTAAGGACTAGAGGGATTAAACGAAATTACCTCGAGCTTGCAGGGTATACGTGTTACACATCAAAGATCGAACCCAAGACGGTAAAAGAAGCCCTATCTGATGAACATTGGCTTAAAGCCATGCAGGAAGAACTCGGACAATTTGAACGTAACAAGGTATGGAATCTCGTCCCTAAACCTGACGGTGTACATGTTGTAGGAACAAAGTGGATCTTTCGCAACAAGACTGATTCAGCTGGAAACATTGCTCGCAACAATGCAAGACTGGTTGCACAAGGCTACTCTCATATTGAAGGTATCGATTATGAGGAGACATTCGCACCGGTAGCACGCCTAGAATCTATTCGCCTTTTTCTATGTATAGTGTGTGCTCTAGGGATAAAATTGTTCCAAATGGATGTCAAAACGGCTTTTCTAAATGGATATCTGTCCGAAGATATATATGTTGCTCAGCCTAAAGGGTTTGAAGATCCTCATCATCCTGACCATGTCTACAAACTGGACAAGGCTCTATATGGTCTAAAACAAGCTCCAAGGGTCTGGTATGAAAGGCTATCCCAGTATCTTCTCCAGCACGGCTACAACCGAGGGGGAGTCGACAAAACCTTATTTATCAAAAGGTCAGGTAAGCATATTACAATTGCTCAGGTTTATGTTGACGATATTATCTTTGGTTCCACTCAAACAGGTGCTACAGATCAACTGGTTCAAGTCATGCAACAGGAATTCGAAATGAGTATTATCGGCGAAGTAACCTATTTTCTAGGACTACAAGTCCAACAAACAAATGAAGGTATTTTTATATCTCAAGAAAAATATGCAAAAGCCCTGCTAACAAAGTTTGGACTTGAGTCAGCTAAAGAAGCAAGAACGCCAATATCTACAACTACAAAATTAAGCAAAGATGAATCAGGGAAGCCAATTGATCCTACTTTATATAGGAGCATGATCGGGAGCCTACTGTATCTGACAGACAGCCGTCCATAAATTATGCTCAGTGTTGGAATATGTGCCAGATTTCAAGCGGCTCCTAAAGAATCACATCTTAAAGTCGTGAAAAGAATAATCAAATATGTCAAAGGTACTCTCAATTATGGCATTTGGTTTTCGAATGATACTAATCTGAATCTTGTAGGATACAGTGATGCCGACTGGGCCGGAAATGCAGATGACCGCAAAAGTACATCTGGTGAGTGTTTCTTTTTTGGGAAAAACTTAGTTGCCTGGCTAAGTAAGAAGCAAAACTCGATATCTCTCAGCACAGCTGAAGCTGAATATATAGCAGCTGGTAGCTGCTGTACTCAACTCCTATGGATGAGACAGATGCTTCAGGATTATGGTCTACATCAAGAGTGCATGACTCTGTATTGTGACAACACTAGTGCTATCAACATCTCCAAAAATCCAGTTCAACATTCCCGGACTAAACATATTGAAATACGACATCATTTCATAAGAGAATTAGTAGAAGACAAGGATATCAACCTGGAGTACATTTCAACAGAGAAAAATCTAGCTGATTTATTTACAAAGCCTCTTGATAACACAAGATTTGAGTTACTTCGAGTTGCTCTCGGAGTGTGCAGGTTTTCAATCTAAATTTGTTTTGTGACTCAAATAAATTTTTTGTATTTCTTTTGTTTTGTGTTGGTTTTTTTCTTTCTTTTCAGATTTCATCCAGAAAATCCTCCAGATATGCTCTCTGCTCCAGTACGTATTCCAGACCGGAAAATAAGTCTTTAAACCGCACTATATACTCAGATTTTTTTATTAATTTCTTCTCTCTCCTGGCTGTTATACACCACCGCCTTCTTCCCCAATTAATAGAATCCAATCCCTAGAATTACTCTCACCTTCCTTTAAACCCTTCTCACGCCTTCCATCAAAATTTCGAATCCTAGCCAAATTCTTCTACCAAATCGATTTTACCTATCTCACATATGGCTAGCCATTCTGATCTTAACCCTTTCCTTTTCTATCTCATGAAAGATGAGCGCTTAGATCTATATCGTCAGATTCTCCTGAAATTCCTGGGATTCAAGTGTTTAATCTCCTAGTGTCTAACCTAATGTAATATTAAATCTGGGTTTAACAAGTGTGAGGATGCAAGGTGGTTGGCGCTACTCTCATAGTCACTGACACTAGTGAATATCCACTCTCGTGGTATAAACACCCAATAAACTAGAACAAACATCATAATAAATTCCTAACTACTACCATCTCTCGATGTGCAATAATCAATAATTAAACTCCCTAACAAAATTACCATTTCTCAAGGTGCAACAGTTAGGTGCAATTTTTTGTGCCCTAAGTTATGCCCAACTCTCGTTGTGACACAAACAATGCTATGAAGCAAGTAATTCAGGCTCTAAACTACTAGCAACAAGAACATAAATCACAATCGCAATACAAGCATAAAATCCCAAATGATAATATATTGAGAATTAAAGATCAAGGAACATAGATTCATAAATACTTTTACCGAAGAATCTCAAATAAAACCTAGCCACACATGTCTAATATGCAATACATATCAAATATAAAGAGTTACAAGATAATCTAAGAGTACAGGAATTGACAAAGCGATTCTCCCAAATCTCCTTGGCTTCCTCCTTGCTTCCAAATACAACTTGAAGCTATCAATTTTCCTCTTTCTTGTCTCCAAAGTCTGAATTAATTCTTCTAGGGTTGAGGGAAGGGGTCCTTTTATAGTGGGAACAAATAGGGGATGAAATTAGGAAGTTTCCAACAATCGCGCCCAATTTTGATTACACAGTTGATTGATGCTAATGAGATTTGCTTTCAGACCACTGACTAAGAGAACTTCTTTCAGATGTGGTAAACCTGGTACATTTAGGGTACCTTTTCCAACTATCTTTCCTTTTTGCCCATCTCCATACATAACTGATCCACTGCTAGGTTGAATAGATATGAGACACTTGACATTCCCAGTCATGTGTCTAGAACATCCACTATCGAAATACCATCTTGTTTCAGTCATAGAGGCGGTCAGAACGATTGTGGGATAGCATATTACTTCTGATTTCCTGACCCAAACTTGTCTTACGAGGGGAGTAATAGACTTGTTCTGATATTTCTCCTTCCTTTGATCTCTGTAGAAGACATAACATTCAGGTCGGGTATGTCCTTTTGTTTGATAATAATGACAGATGGGTACGTATTGTCTAACTTTTACAAGCTTAGTCTTGAACCTTGAGTACTGGGACTGTAATTTGATCCTGCCAGATTGAGAGTCATCAATCCGAGTGTGCATGATCCCTTTCTGTTTTAACTGAGTTGACCGTGATGATTGACTTTGATCATAACTGTGAATTGCTTTATCAACTGATGTTCCTTCTTTTATAAACATAGGTGCCATCTTTGAGGACTCTCCTCGTTCAAAACCAAGTCCCCTTTTATCATTGGGATTTCGACCAGAATCCCGAATTTTGTCTAAGGTCGAGGTGGTATCCATCATCTTGATTCTCTTCTTTAGATCCTCCAGTTCCTTTATCAATTTTCCCTCTCGTGATCTTATATGAGTAATAAGATCTACTTTTAAGACAAGTTCAGTGTTTAGTTTCTTCAGGAGATCATCTAGTTGCTTCAGATCTTCAATCAGACTCTTGTTGACTTTCACCAGTTGTTCCCAACTTCCAACTAGTTTGGCAAATTTCAGTTCCAGTTGTGTATGTCTCTGTAACACCCCAGATTTTTGAAACTTTTAAGACTTATATAATAAAGGTAGTTTTATTATTAATATCAAAAATAGAGCATTACTAAACACAAGAGTTTGGGGTGCTATGTCACATCTGAGCTGGAGAACTCAGATGCACATGCAATACTAACTAAATATCCTCAAAGCAATGTCAATACATCATCACGGCATGCAGGCCG